TCTATTTTTAATTCCACTACTTTTGGCTTTGAATATTTAACTTATTTCCAGGAGACTTGAATTTGCACCAAAGCCAAGTCTAATTTTTTGAGGAAATATTGAGTTCCACACCTCTGGAAGATGTGTGAGTTAGGTAATGTTGCCTTAGTTGTAAAAAGGAGCTGCCCCCAGTTGAAAGCTGAGTAGGGTACACAGGCTTTGATAACACAAGAAGTCTTACAGCACGATCTGGGCACTTGCATATATAATTAAGAGGTAGAAATGTAGTTATTCTTACCCTGACAAATCCATACTCCTTTCTGGCTACCGCTATGTCATATCCGTAGACCTGGATCATCACCAGTCCAACATAGGACACACTCTTCTGGCCCCGATTCTCATTTTTGATGGTAATGTGGAAGGCTGGGAGAGTTGTGTCTGGTCCACAGGTCTTGGCTATGGTATAGGTACAGGTGCCCATGAAGTCGTATTTCTGCATGTCAAATGTCCGATAATGTGGGTCACCCACGGCCCAGCAAATGGCAGTAGACTGAGGCACACACACCGTCTTGCCATTTTGTATTTGGCAAGTCTCCTTCTTCCGGCATTTCATGGAACTGCAGGAAGCTTTGGGAACAGGTTGAACTTCTGGACAAGAAAGGCAGGATGTTATTTAATTGTTCATTGTTATCTTACCTTTCCTTTAGGACCCCCAACACCTTACCTACTACAACCATTCTATGGTAAGGAGTGAAAAGTGAGGAAGAGAAGGATACAATAGGAGAGAAAAGGAAGTGGAGAAATAAAGAAAAAGAAGAAAATTAGAGGGAATCTCTCATTCGATAGGTTTAAGGAGTTGAAATCCAACACACCTAGAGAGGATCAAGTTGAGGAAAGTTCACTAAGAATGTCTGGGGGAGATGGGCAGCATATAAATGTGATAATAAATAAAATGTCTGCATTTCTTAATCTGAATAATTATAACCAGCCTATAAGAACAGATCTTTGAGTAAGATACCATAAATAAAAGCAATAAAGCATAAGAGACCCCCCCTTCCAACAACCTACATAAAATGAGAATATTAAACCCCCAAATCATAAGTGAATAGTCATTTGATTTTGACCTAAAGCCAGCGTTGCTACCAGCCTGGCCTCTGTGGGAGATCATTCCATAATTGGATGCCCACAGCTACAAAAGACCATGGCACTTTGCTTCATAAGCGTTATCCAGCTCCCTGGTCCTGCCTTTATGATCCCAGTACTCACCCTTTTGGCAGACTCCTACTGCTCCATAGCCATTCCTATCAGCAATGCCAACACTTAGCAAGCTAAAGGGGGTGTTTGGATGGGCTATGGAATGGGTACGTCCTTCCTTCCCAAGGCTATACTCGCTCCATGAATATTCTGTTCCTGTAATCTGTTTCCAAGAGACACCTCCCAATGAATTCCCATCCACAGTGATCCCATTAGCAGCAGCAGTCTTAGCAATGATGAGTGCATAATTCTCAAAGCCCACCTGGCTCTGAAAAGAGTAGGACGTGCAATAGCTGAGAATATCAGGGATGGTCAGAAAGAAGGGGTCAAACGTGCGACCAGAATGGGTATCACCAGTGCAGAAAAAGAAGACCTGGATGCCAACATTGGCTGTGATGTAGATGGGTTTTGATTGTGTGACTTTCAGCAGAAGTATCTGTCCAGGCTTGAGGTCATAAATGTTCTGGATGCTACCAGAGATATAGGTGACTCTGGTCATCTGGGAGGTTATTATATATGCAATATCATATTGAGTTTGGAAGGAAATAGGAAGAATAAAGAAGGACCGGCCCCAGCTTGGCACTGGTAGCAGTTGTTCTACCACATGATTACAGTTGGTGTTCTTCTGAGCACAGCTGTGCCCACTTAGCACTGCTACTGGGTGTGTTGCTCTGACAAATGTGCCAGAGAGATCTTGGTGGCTCTGAAGCTGGATGGCTTCGTAGGGTAGAAGGATAACATGCAGCTTGCTGCCTGCAGGATAAATGCGGTTTTGGAATCTCACACTTCCCTTGAGATGGATCTCTACTTCAGTGTGAGTATGCCATGCAATGACAGAGAACTCCTTGTACATTCTGGAGATTTCTCCCAAAGGTGTGAGAACATAGTACTCCAATCCTAGACTCTGGATAGGATAGACAACTGTGGTGTCAGCTGAATTTTTCTTTGAGCTCAAGGCCACCACAGAGATATTTTGATTGGCTGTCACCAAGACAGTGTGGCAGAATTTAATGGTGCCAAACATCTCTGCATAAGCAGGGATCTTCACTAATGTGGTCTGTCCTGGGGGAAGAGAGAACTGAAGCTGGAATCTGGATTTATAGACTGCGACGTTAACAGTAGTGAGCGGTAAGTTGCCAGAGATGAAAAGCTGAAATTCAGCCTTAGTATAGTCTAACTGGTAATTTTGCATGAAGGCTGTGATGAATTCCTTGCCAATAGGTCCTGCAGCATGGAGGCCTACAAGGAAGGGAAAACATAGGTAACGAGAGCTAGGAAGTAAAACAAGGCAACGTACGGACATGCTTGAGTCACCTGAAATGTCCTTTCATTGGATGAATTCACACAACAAGCTTAACCATATCAGGTAAAAACCCAGTTCCTCCTTTTGCACAGCCACTACATTTGCTTAACGTCAACCTCTGTAACTTTAGGGAGGGGGAAACTTTGTCTGTTGGTGAACCCACCCCATTTAATTTGTTGATGGTTCAATGTCTGACACAAAACCCTAAAATGAGTTAATTCAATAACCCAGGGAAGTGTAGTCTCCAAATACAGGCTTGGTAAAATCCTAGAAAATGATGAAACAGTCTGCAGTCTACTTCCCAACACCTTGAGTGTCAGTCCCCACCACCCCAAAGGTGCCACTAAATAATAATATTGATATGACAGGGGAAATTATTAAATACATGGGGGACAATTACAACAACTGCACTGAATTCATTTAATCAAGTGAGCTTTTGTCCCCTTTCCATCCATTTCATCAGCCTAGATACATGTACCTTCTGAAGTGCAACCCCAAGAATGCTATTGAAAATCCTCAGTCCAAAACAGATTTGACATTCCTGGCTTAACCCTTGTGTTTTCAAGCTGTTAGGTGGCCAGTGGTTCCGGAATTGGGAAAACAGCCCTCAGATTGCTATTTTAACTAGTTCTTACCAGAGTTAACATTGGTTTCAAATAATAATAATTAAATTGATATGTCACTGGAACTCCCAGCAACTCTGGGCAGTTTACCCACTTTGTAAATGTTGTCATGTCTCAGCTTTTAGTCTTTTTTTTTTTTTTTACAACTGACATGTTCAGGGATGCTGTCTGGAGGATTTTGTGGGCAAAAAGACACATATCCATTTCATAAATCTTCCTAAACTAACTATTTCAGTGGAAAGAGTAATCATTTCTGTTAGACGGCGATCTTTTCACATGCCTGAAGAACATCACAGAGAGGCTGTCTATGGTCTATCCTCTCTCAGCTCAGGAAATTGGATACAGAATAATACGTTTAAGCTACTGAAAGACAGATTTCTGTTGAATGTCCAACGTAAAATTCCTAAGAGTGATTTAACAGAGGCATTAATTATTTAAATGTGATGGGCTTCTCTCCATGAGATGCATCAATGCAGGGGCTAAACAGCCATCTGAAATGTCTGAATATAGATTCGTGCACAAAGCAGGGTGGGACTCAGTGACCAAAGTCTTTACTAAATCCACAGGCACTCTTGACATATGTATAGGGGGTCCCCAAATCCACAATTAGAACAATTTAAACTGATCACCTCCTTAAAATATTTAGCAAACACATTGAGGAAATGGTTCACATGTGAATGTTTTGAATAAATAATAATTTATCTCTAGATTAAAGTATTTCACCAAATTTCTGAGAGTTCATATATCTTCAAAGCACATCCACCAGAATAGTTTAATGTCTTGGCAGACTTATTCACTTACTGCAACTCAAATCCCAAAGCTATTTTCTTTCCTGACTCTGTGATGTGAATCTGCTCTCTAGTTTTACCTAAATTCAATTTGCAATTTATTCATCTGATTCCATGAACCCAGTGTATCTATAGACCTTTGTTGGAAGATAATTTCCTATTCACCTGTGAGCAAGGCCAGCCCCATAGCTAGTGGCAGTAGTTTGCACGTCCCCATGGCTGTGAAAAAGAGAAGGGAAAACAATAATTAAGGACCAGGAGTTGCAAGAGGGTAAAAATTCAATATCAAGGATCACTAGACTTAATTAAATCAAATCCAAAACATTCCAAATAGAATATTACCATGGGCCTAGCAAAAGTCTGACCCTGCCCATTTGCCCACTGCAGAAATTTATTGGAGGGAAAAAATGGACACGTGCATCTGTGGTAATGGGGGGCAAAAATGTCTATGTGCATATTTTAAAAGGGCAGAGCTTTGATCACACTGTCATGGATGCCATCTTAAATAGAAGAATAGAATTTTAATTTTATTATGGTCACAGACTAGAGTTACAGATAGAAGCACATCAAAAAAAAATTGTTTTTAAGTCATCGGCAGGGTGACTTTGGGCCCGTCCCTTTCTCTCAGCCCAACTCACCTCACAGGGTTGTTGTGGTGGAGAAAATAGGAGGAAGAAGGAGTATTAGATATGTTCACTGCCTTGAGTGATTTATAAAAATAATAAAGGTAGGATTAAAACATCTAAAAAAGAATAAAAATAAAGTTAAAAACAAAACAGGATTCAAATATGACAATTGGTGGTGGATTCATCGATGGGGAATCAACGTCTGCCTAATTTTACAGCAGTATAAATGTATAATTGACAAGCCCTCCAAAACGGCTGGGGAGAGTCTTGAAGCAACGATTATATGAGGTGAGTATCCCACTGGTTTGTAAAAAGGGGCTTGACTGCTCAGAAAAATGTCATTGGGTAGAGCAGGGTGGTCCTGTTGGGCTTCCAGGTCTTGGGAACATTGTTTAAATGCACGGAGTGGGCCATCTTGACTTTTCTGACCACCCTACAGACAACCCCAGTCTTTAGGACAACTTCTTCCCAGAAGATAGCTTAGGCCCCCCCAGACTGACAGAATCATAGTATAAAAAGAAAGAAAAGCCACATGTATCACAATGCCCCCCATCAGGAACACCCCCCTTTCCCTCCGTGCCTATTATTCTGAAATCCTGAAATTGTAAAAAGACATGATAAATTTAGAAGTTGCAAGAAACAGCGATTCCAAGCAATGTGAAATTGATATAGTATTCAAGAAGTGACCTGAAAAATTGGCTTCCCTCACACACACACGCATACTTCTGCTGGTTGATTTTTGCAGCTTTTCCAGCATATTTACTTGAAAATAAATCCCACTCAACTCAATGGGGTGTATTTCTGATTAGACCTGGACTGGGCTGGACCTTAACCTCCAATTCTTTTTCTCCTGCTCCCAATCCCTGAAATGCTTTGGGGGGAGGGGGCAGGGGGAAGAAACACATTGCTTTTTCTCATTTATTTTGATGAAAAGATTGATTAAATGAAGCAGCCTATTTCAACATGAGTGGAATGGCTTCAAAATGCTCATTATTGTTTCACACCAGCTGTGGCTAATTTAAAAAATATTTCTTCTTTCTATTGGGGCTGCAACATTTTCTTCAATTCATTGGTTCATGGAGCTGCTCCAGAATCAATCAAAACCATCTTCCTCCCGTGCACGGCGCAAAATGCTTTTTTAAAAATGATGCCTGCCATGATAAGAACATTCAATTATCTAAAAAAAAAATAAAAAGAAGTTTCTCCCTTTTATTCAAATTTACTGTTTTATTCAGATGCATATTGCTCAAGCTGTAATTGATTAAAGCTCATATTATAGTTCGGGGGAATTTTCTCTCCCAGAAATGGGCTATTTATGGGCCTAGGTTTAGACCTGGTGTCAGAAATCTTTGGGTACAACTCCCCTGGAGATCTTTCAAACATGGTTCAAACATGTTAAAAAAAAATGTTCAAAAAAAAAATCAAAAATGATAATTTTTGATATGATAGCATAAATAATTAGGAGATACATGACTGGAGAGTGCATATACAGGATGTTCCAAAAATCAGCCTTCATAGACCAAGTCAGGCCCTATAGACAATTTATTATATAAATTATATGAAATATTCAAATTGGTTGCCATTTTCTTTTAAACCCTTCCTTATTCGTTTGACACGATTTTGAACATTCCTAAGTACAATAACATTTTCTCTAAAAAGAAAATTAATAAAACATATTGTGATTGGCCTATGGGGACTGAATATTGGTTATCTATCTATCTATCTATCTATCTATCTATCTATCTATCTATCTATCTATCTATCTACCTATTTATCATCTATCTATCTATACACATACACACACATACCCGTGTGTATGAAACTTATTTAGTTTTTACCCTGAGCCCAGTTAAAAAAAATTCTGAGAGTGCCCCCTGGTATGCAACTCTAAGGTTAAGATTGGCCTTTGGATCTAGAAACAGAATCCCAGCTTCTTTTCAAATTTCCAGGGAGTAATTTGCTACAAAGCTTTCCCCAGCCTGGTATCTTCCATTCATCATGAGATAACAACTTTCAGAAATCCCATCCTGTTGGGAATTCTGGAAGGTGTAATTCCAACACCTCTGGAAGGTGTCAGAGAAGAGGAGGCCGTGTTACATAATCTCCAGTAGATGGCTGTTTGGTTTCCACTTAACTACCTTTAGAAAGAGAAAATTCACCGTATTTGGTAGCCACCTGCTCCCTCATTAAACCGCCTTCTTAATGCTTAGACAAAATCTGCAATGACCTCAGCTTCTCATGTTTGTTTCATAAGAAGTTAAAGAGAGCATCACACTTACCTGCTGATGAAACCCTGTATCCTGGCGCCTTGTCTGCAGACTTTATATATAGGTGGGAGCCCAGAATACGTTCAGGTATAGGAGTGACAGGTTGAGTCATTATTGTTTCTGGGAGGAGAGATGCTAAACTTGGCTTTGGGTCAATACAAACTCAGTTCTCCTGGATGATTTAAAATGATATTAATTCACCACGTCATGGTCCACCACAAGTATTGAGGTTGGGATCCTGACTAAATTTTCTATATTTTTTTCTAGTAGAACTAAAGGAATCTGAGCATCCTCTTTTTGATCTCCAGCCTATGTCAGCTCATTTGGTGCAATTTTCCATGCTCTTTCATAAATTTTGTTCTCTGATATGTTTACAAAAAGTTAACCTTTTGGACCTGTGCAGGTCTTTGATAGTATAATCAGATACATGTTTTTACTGATGTAACTCTGAGATCAAGGAAGTACATTCCCACATTACAGGTTATAGGAATGGAGTTTACATAAATAATCAAGATGGATAGATAAGATGTTTTCTGTGTCACTTTTGCAAGTTTCCAAAACTCAAAAGAGTCTGCATTAATCTTTAAAATTTAAAAAATTCACAATGTATACATAATTTAAATAGCATTCTTGAACATATTGATTTATTTAAAAAATAAACATTTCTAAATGCATTTCCTTCACATTCCATCTTGATTCTAAAGACAAAGTTTATTTGTAGTTTTTGTAAATTGAGCAGCAGATTACATTGCAAAATTCAGAGATATGTGACTTCACCGTTTGCATTACAACCCACAATTAGTTTGAAGCACACTTACCTGGAAGAAAGTTTTGCTGAAGGAAGTAGAATTTTACTTTTAGCAAATATGCATGAGGACTGGTTGAGTCTTGTCTCCAAAACATTGGAGAGGATGGGTTTGACATCTTCCTTAATGGAAAGCCACTTCAGGAAGAATCTGGTGGTTTGCGTTTCTTAGAGTCTAATGCACAGTTCTCAACGAAGCATTCATCTCATAGCATAATTTAGGATGGGAGCATTTTCAGGGGAGATTCAGAAGAAAAAGTTACTTTACTTTCACCCAACCCATTATTTTCCTCTACTTTTGCCTGTAGGCCACTTTCTGCTCCAGGTCTCCTTCCAGCACTCCCTCATTTCTTTTGCCACCCAAAACGACCACTCCTTTTTGTTTAGCCTTTCTCAGAACTTTACATTCAAAATGTTTGCTGAGCCATCTTATCAATATTTGTTACTTGCTTTCACAGGGGATTAAATGGGAAGAGATTTTCACAGTCATGGCTCTTTAATCTGCTCTTGACTGAAACTGCATACAAAGGAATTAAGGTCTTATGCAACCCTTCTCTGAATTCATCCATGACCACTACAAATACTGTTTTGATGACTTCCTGAGTTGGACATCTTTTGTTATATACGACTTTATAGGCCTGGGCTGGAAAATTGCTAATAAATATATTGATGATAAAGTAAAGAATAAGAACCCTTTCTCAACTTACAGAGAGTGTGAGATGATGAGTTCCATTTCAAAGCAGCCTGACTTCACCTTCTTATGTTACATTTTGTTTCAAAGGTATATCCATGGGTGATCCAGGAAACCTAGAAAACCCATAGCTAGATTAGTTAAGAGGAAGTGTTCAGCAGTCTTTATCACTCATTTATTTGTCACTCTGCTTTTAAAGAGCACAAGATGGCTTATAAGAAGCCATCTTTATTTTGTCCTTGCAACGTCAAGCTGGTAAAAAATAATAGGCTGAAAGAACGTTACTGGCCCCAAATCACCATTGTGCTCCAAGGTCAATGGGATTTTGAACCTAGGTCTCCCAAGTCACAGTCCAGCACCTTAGCACTATTCTATGGTCTGACCATAATACCATACAGAAGCACACTTGTCTCCATAAAACTGAAGGTGTCAAAGGAACTATGAAGACTAACAGACAATGGAAATCACAGAGGCTGCATTCACACATAATATTGTTCCCAAATTTATAACCACGAATTGTTGATTAAGTCATAATGGCCTTCTTCACATGCCATACTAATCATATTGGGGCAGAGTGTTCATGTCTGTATGAAACCAAAATCAGCCAAGTGTATTATAGATGTTGTTGTTCAGTCGTTAAGTCATGTCCGACTCTTCGTGACCCCATGAACCATATTGTGAAGAATTGATGCCTTTGAACTGTGGTGCTGGAGAAGACTCTTAAGAGTCCCCTGGACTGCTAGGAAAGAATTGATGCCTTTGAACTGTGGTGCTGGAGAAGACTCTTAAGAGTCCCCTGGACTGCTAGGAAAGAATTGATGCCTTTGAACTGTGGTGCTGGAGAAGACTCTTAAGAGTCCCCTGGACTGCTAGGAAAGAATTGATGCCTTTGAACTGTGGTGCTGGAGAAGACTCTTAAGAGTCCCCTGGACTGCTAGGAAAGAATTGATGCCTTTGAACTGTGGTGCTGGAGAAGACTCTTAAGAGTCCCCTGGACTGCTAGGAAAGAATTGATGCCTTTGAACTGTGGTGCTGGAGAAGACTCTTAAGAGTCCCCTGGACTGCTAGGAGTTCTTCTTCACTTTCTGCCATTAGGGTGGTATCGTCTGCATATCTGAGGTTATTGATGATTCTCCCTGCAATCTTAATTCCGGCTTGTGATTCGTCCAGCCTGGCATTTCTCATGATGTACTCTGCATATAGGTTAAATAAGCAGGGTGACAGTATACAGCCTTGTCGTACTGTATTATAGATGAGTACAGTGTAAACCAGGCCAGCATTTATCACTATGTATACATATGGGAATGGCTGGCTGAGGAATTCTGGGAGTTGAAGTCCACACATCTTAAAGGTCCCAAGGTTGAGAAACACTGCTCTAAAGGGTGATTTCACACTAAGGCTCCTTTGCACTGCTAAGCGATCTTCCTTCCCTAGTTGGCTGGAAGAGAAATTTAAAACAGAGGTGGGCTTCAGATTTGGTCAAATCCAAGACACAATTTAACTAACCATTAGTTAGATGGCCAAGTCAAAGCACAAGGAAGCAGACCAAATCTGAAGCTGAACCGTTCCAAAGTATCTTATATTACAACTGTTTGTACGGAAACTTTCCCCCCAAATATATATATTTTTGGTGCACTTTTTGGAGGTGAAAACTGCCTTCCAAAACTAAAAAAAAAGGAGCATTCAGTGCATAATTGTTTTCCAGTTCATATAGTCCTATTCTTTCCCCCATGAAACCAGTGCAATAAAACCACTGAGATATCCAAATTATTCAAATCAGAACAGAATTTTCCTTATGCTTGCTGTTTTTTGGTTTTAGGTTAACAGACCATGCCATCAGACTCGGGAATCCAGGCTTGCATGTATATGAGTTTTAACTGCTATGATTATAGTAAGCTGATTAGTTATTTCTCTGCTGAGTTTTCTCCACTGTGCCAGTCACCCTTATCCTTATACTGTACAAGTAAGGAAAAACACTTTTGTAATTTGAATTAACCCTTTATGGTCACTCCCTGATTTCTATAAGGCATCCACAGCTGCCCTTCCAAGTATTGAAAATATTATTATCGAACGCTGCAGACATTTTAGAAATTGAAATTACAAGGCCCCTAGAAAATACTGCTAATAATAACGCTACAAAAGTTGATGAAATGCTAACAGAACTTTATCAGCTAAATCCAAGAGGGAAAACCAGAACTGCAGATAATTAACAGATGCTTGTGAGATCCTCAGAGAGACCCTCAGTAGCATGTAATTTGTAATTTATACTGTAGCAAAAGGGAAATGTGGTTAGATTTATGGAGAGTAGTCATATTTATACATAGTTAATTTCATTTTTAAAATGTAAGTTGAATTTATTTATTTGGCTCAGACCCACACTTTTTGGGAAGTGGCCACTGGTATGCCAGCCAAAGACCAAGTATTGCCCTACAACAACCCCTGTCTGAGACTCAAGAGGAAGGCTGAGATTACGGATTACAGATGCCCCAATGAGGTGCCTAAGACTATCCAGACCAAGGTCAAATCTCCTTCAAGTTGAGTTTGACTCCTGGTGTCTTCATGGACAGTCCAGATATTCCCTGGAGGTCTGCCATCCAAGTACTAACCAAGTTTGACCCTACTTAACTTCCAAATCAATGGCTAAGAATTATATTCCTGTTTCATTTTTTGCACTAACTGGGAGAGCCATTGGAGCAGAGTAGTTAAACACCTAGAAGAACTCTGCAAGAAACAGTGACAGCAGAGCAAGGGCCAGGATCAAAATCACTAGGCATGTGCCCAGGCCCACATCTCTGTAAGTGACCCAGTGCTGATCACTAGATCTTCCTGCCCTAACTTACAACCTTGCGACTTTTTTTTCCTCCTGCCTGTTCGCTTGCCCACTTCAAGTTCAGGAGCAAGAAAATGAAGCAGCAACCCCATCTGGCTTGCGTTGGCCTCCTACTGTCCCCAAAGTTGGACATTCCCCAGGAGTCTATAGAAAAGGTCACCTCTTAAATGCCTTTTCCCTCCAGCTATTAGAACCCAGTGACAATGCACATGCACGTAAGAGCCAGAGTTGTTCCATGTTGTTCGGTGAAACAGGTGTTTATTGATTTGGTCCTCCACCCTGCCTGATGAAAATATATTTCATATACTCAAATGAAAATAGACTAACAAAGAAACCAGGCCCAGAGGATCAATATTTTAACTGGAATTTAACAGCTCATTTATAATTTGGGAAGTTTCTATTCTTTTGCACTTTGGCCACCAGCCTAAACTATCACTGGAAAATTTACACTGCCTGGACTAGTTTAAAAGAGAAATTTACCCTGTGTTAGCAGAAGGTGTTAGACAAATAAACAGGTTGTCTACCTACATGTGCATGTCAAGCTTCCCACTGGAGCTTGGAATTACACATTTCACACCACCCAGATCAGGCATATTTCTTAACAAACCAGGGAAAGGAAACCCTTTCCATCAAATTCAGATGATCTGAAGACTACAGACAGCCTCAAATAAGAAGAAAAGAAGTTGATTTTATTGCACACAAAATCCTAGCATTGTTCAGCCAGGACGACCCAGGTTGCTTGTCAAAAAGGGGTCTACATGGGCACAGCACTCAACTCTGGAGCCCATGAATGAGTCTCCATGCTCATTTGGTCAGGAGTTTATAGGTTAAACATGCTAAGACTACGTGACCCAACACCATGCTTCTCTCTTATAATCACTATCTACAAGCCATGATTATGTATATAAATTCTGCGATGGGCACTCATTGTTTGTGCTGGAGATGTTTGAACAGCTGCTTCCAAACATCCAGAGTCTGCTATTTCTTGCTCCCAATGATGAGATTGAGGTTGATTGCCAGGTAAACTTTTAATCCTAAATGATCCAAACAAGATCACAACCTAATTTTCACATAACAGTTTCTTGAAGGAATCAAGAATTCCTTCCCACTACATTCCCCCCTTGGAGTCATGAGTGAATGGGCTGCAGTGTTCATGCAGCAATCTCTGAGAAATCACATTGTGTACCATCATAACCTCAGTTCTCAAGACTCTAATCCAGTGTTTCTCAACCTTAACAACTTTAAGATGTGTGGACTTCAACTCTCAGAATTCCCCGGCCAGCCATGCTGGCTGGGGAATTCTGGGAGTTGAAGTCCACACATCTTAAAGTTGCCAACATGGAGAAACACTGCTCTAGTCCTTCTGTAGCCAAAGTCACCATACCCCCAGAAAAGAGAGAAGTAACCACAGATTTGTGGAAGCCTCATGTGACATCTCATCCCAGCTGTGACTTTGCTCAAGTGTAGCTCCCTGTTTTAAAAAGGCTCTGCTGCTTTGACTTCATAAGGACCAACACTTTGAGAACTGAGATCACTATTGGGCAATTCAAAATTTCCAGATGGCATTCTCCTTTTGTTTCAGGAAGATTACATATGCGTTGTCGGTTTCCTGATGTGCATGTCCTGTAGGATTTCTGTAACAGTTGATTCTTGATATGGAGAAGCTACCAAATCTGGCTGCAAAACCCAGATGATTACTAATTGGAAGTAAACTGCTACATAAAACTGCCATCTAATTTCCATCCAAGTTCTTGTCACCCAGACCTGCTAGCCTTAATAGACAGTTTAAGGTCTCACCTTCATGTTGAGGAACCACTTTGGGCCTCTTTCTCTACAGAGTTGCCAATTCTTTTGCTGGGTCCAGTTTTTGTGCCTTTAAGAAAGAGATAAATCAAGGTCATGTTTAATTGCAGTCATTTCAGTGTAAGGTCTGGCCCATCCAAGATTAAATACTCAGCCATTTTAGGCTACTCCCTCTCTCTTCCTAACTTCCCATCACTAGGCTTGTGAAGACTGAATGGAGGAAGAACCTTAAAGTCCTGGGAAAGAAAAAAGAGAAGAGAAGAGAAGAGAAGAGAAGAGAAGAGAAGAGAAGAGAAGAGAAGAGAAGAGAAGAGAAG